AATCGCAGCAGACGAATGTATATATATATATATATATATATATATATATATATATATATATATATATATATATATAAACTGAAATTATAATTCTGGTTAAAATTTCAGGATGAGACAGACATAAGAAGGAAATCCATGCATACTTACGTTAGCCAACCACAGCCTACTTCCATGATCATCTCATCAATATGATGCAGTCAGAACAGAGCACAGCTAACATAGATCTATGCCATCTAACCCACAAGCTTCTAATGAACGTATGTTCCTGGGTTGTCCAGGAAATTATTGATCTTCTTTGCCACGTCATCAAGCTCATTAGTATTGCTATATTTCAGGAGGTTGTGGGATCGTACAAAGTAATGCCGGAGATAATGCTGGCTAACACACTTATGTAGCTTTTGCACCAGCCGTAATACGCATCCTCTGAAGTCTCTCCAGTCCCTGGTGCAGGGGTACTTCTCACATGTCCAGAAAAGCAGCGTCTAAATGATGTAAGGACAGTGCGAAAGTGTGTAAACTTGAATTTGTGTACAAGCAGTATGATGTTTCAAAAGCCAAATGAACAGAAATCACAGAAAAGAAGTGACAGGAAAGGAGTAGAAGGCTGTTTTGCTTGGGCTGGTACCTGTAGATGGTAGGCAGTGATCACGGGTTTGCTTCCAGGACACCAGATGCCCTCCTTGAGCTGTCTGACCACCCGATAACACTTCCTGCGGCAGCCGCCGTCCTCATCTATATTACTCAACAGCACTTGCTCTGCCCGTGAAAATGACAGCAGCCAGTGGTAGTTTGATGTGGCCATTAGATTGAATCCAAATGACTGTAGGGGATATATTAGATTAATCATCATTGTATTTTATGTAAACAGTACTCAGCCGTTTTCTGTTTACTAGTTAATAATTGAAATATAGCTAATAATAAAATAATATTAAAATTTTAAATTTAAAAATATATTTTTTTAAATTCCTGTGGTGGTAAAGCAATTACTCTAGTCTTCAAGGTCACATGATCCTTCAGAAATCATTCTATTATGTAATTTAGTGCTCAGTTGTTGTCAGTTATTGTTGGTGCTCAATTACTAATAATGGTTCTTATTATTATCAGTGTTTAAAACAGTTTTTGCTGCTTATTATTTATGTTTTTTTAGGATTATTTGATGACTAGAATGTTCAAAAGAGCATGTAGCCTGTTTGAATTAGAAATAGAAATCTTTTGCATCATTATTGTTACTTTTGATCAAATTAATGTGTTCGTGCTCAAGAAAAGTATTTCTTTCTTTCTTTATTTTATTTTTTAATCTTATACAAAACTTTGAATGGTAGTGTATCATGGTTTCCACAAAACTATTAAGAAGCACAATTGTTTTCAATACTGATAATAATAAGAAATGTTTCCTAAACACCAAATCAGCATATTAGAATGATTTCTGAATGATCATTTGACACTGAAGACAATTAATAAAGTAACGTAAAGCAAATTATACACTCACAAACACACACACACACACAGTAATGGCTGCTGAAAATTCACAATATTACAGTTTTTACTGTATTTTCGAGGGGAAAAAAAGTTAATTCCTATGTATATAGACCCACTGACCTTAATACAGCGAGCACGCTCTGTGGAGGGCCATCTCTGAAAGAACCGGGGCCACCGAGCTCTCTTTGGCCAGTAGTTCATTAGCTCCACTGTAGGAACCAGTTCCACCTCAATTTGTGCCTCTGATGTTTCCACAGCAACACGCACCACTGAACCAACTGATTCCAGCATACTCACCTTACCTGTCAAAGAAATGGGAAAAGAAAGTTAAAACAAATGAAATGTTGCATGAATCATGTGTAGTGCACATTTATGCTTGTCCATTCACCTAGATTTATTCCTGGATCAACATCCTTGTCAACCAGTCAGTTTTTAGGGTTAGAACTGGGGCTACTTAGAGGCTTGAACAACCTGTCAATCTATCATTTCATGAGATTTTGGCTTATTTTTTTAAAAGGAATGTTGATCCAAATTTTACCATCACATTGTGCTGTATGGTGTTAATGTGCGTGCATAACTGTGTTTACCTTCAACGCATTGAGCCTTTGGGTCAAATAAGAAACCAGTGACTTAAAAAGCCCCGTCATACTATTTCATTCTAAAGATTGTCTTTGGTACAACTCATCTGTCATGGAATCTCCTCTAATAGCTGCAAACAAGCTTTTACTTATTGGAACCAAAATACAGTGGGATCCCTCTGAGACCATTTGCATTATTCTAATGTAATACAAAGTTTTCATTCAAATTATTCAGTTATATATTATAAAAAATTGAGAGAAAAGTTTAATTAAACAATGCAGTCAATGTGGCCAATGTCACTAATTAACATATTTATATAATTAGTAAGTAATGTTATATATTACATATGAATATACTACATTAAAATACATTAAATATTTCTCATTAATTTTACATAATTCTTGCAGGTTAGGTTGAAATTATGTTTTTGATCTTAGCTTGTCAATGTGAATTTAAGCACTAAAACATAAACAAAAATTTACACCAGCAAGTACTGTACCACTGTCTGCAAATACCCTTGATACCCTGTTTGTGGTTTTCATGCAAATTCAGTTACAGTTGCTAGTTATGGAAATCAATCAATCAATCTGTAATCCCAGAAGAGTTGTATGCCAGTAGAGTATGATTGTTGGAGATTTTTGATTATTCATCAGACAACGTGTGAAAAATTGAATGGAAAATAGATAGAAAACAGATCTCGTGCTGTTTGAGTAAACAAGTGGACACTGTAAAAACTCTAACTTGTTAGTCCGCAGGTCTTTATGGATGCCTCCAGATGCTCTTTGAAGACATTCACTACCTTGGCTGGCACAATATCACCCTCAATGATCATGCGGGCATCATGCCACTCCTGACTCAGATTGACAAAACTCTCCAGCTCCAGCCACTGCTGGAGCTTCTCTGGCTCGCGGACCGGTGAGAGGAGACGAGACCCGCTCTGTGTGTAGTAGTACCGCCACTGACGTGTTCGCCTCTCCTTATAGCCAATCAGGCCCTGTAGGGGCACCGAGATCAGGAACAGAGTTGGGGTGAGCACCTGCCAAAATGAGCCAAACATCTATTAGTATATACACAAAGCAATGAAAATCAGCTGTACAGTTTAACCATTAAAACGTTTACTTCTACATGTTACAGTACAACAGTTAAAATGATACCCCCTTTACATTAAGAAAATATAATAAATTATATATTAACAGTCAATATATTAAATGATTTAATGCATATGAAAATATACAGATTAATACCTGTATCTATACATCTATAATATCTATATCAGGTTAATATATTACAAAACATTGAATATTACCTGGGGAATTGTAGCTTATTATATATTGACAAATATGTGACAATATATTTTCTTATACATCATATGTAATTTAATATTAATCAAAACACTTCATAATATATAGATGTATATATGTGTGTATAAACATATTTGTATGTGTGTATATATATATATATATATGTGTGTGTGTGTGTGTATATATGTATTTTTTTTTTCCACATTCACATTTATATTATGTGCCATGACTTGCCAAAAAAACATACAACTGTCCAAAAATATTAATATTTGTTTCCAGTAAACACTTTTTTCTTACACATTCTCACACATATTTTCATATATGAAATTTGTAACGATGCCAACAATTAAGATAAAAGTTTATGAATATGTGTTTAGCTTTATGCAAACGCATACGTTAACTCATGAAAGGAAAATAAATTAAATGAGTGTTTAAATAAAGTTATTAAAAGTAAAAATGTAGTGCCGTTTTGTTTTCATTGCTATATCTTTTTTTATAGCCATACATGGTCCATTCAAATATTGCAGTATTTTGAAAAATATTTTTGTTCCGTAAAGGATATAGCTGACAGTTCTGTTGCTTACTTGGATGGCGGGGTTGTATGCACATCTTCCCCGGAGTAATGCAGACCATTTTGACACTAAATCTGGCTGGTCCTAAATAGGATTGTGGACACCAGAGAAGTTACGATGTTACAAAAGAAGCCATAATTAAAATGCAGTTAGTCATTGTATAATAGACAATAGGCCTACATGAAGTATTACTTTGAGGCTGGTATTATGAACTCCAGAGTTTGCAATAGACTGGAAACGAGCATCCTTTGAGCTGACCCCAGCTGTAAGATCTTTTATGATTTTCTGCACATCTTCAACAGACTTTGAAACCTGACGATGCCTGAGATCCACCTGACAATAACACATTCAACCACCATTAACATATCAGAACAAAATGAGCATTTTGTAAACAAGCCAAAGCAATCACCCTTTACTTTGAGCTATCTGAATAAAATAAAACAATCAAATAAAAATTAAAAATACATATATGTTTTTTATCCTTTATATAAGATATAAAATATACTATTTAAGCTGACTGCAAATAAAATAAACACCATAAATCAGTTAAAGTTAATACTTTAGTCAGGTTTATGTCTCAGTATCCATGGCAGCATAAATAGGTCACCTGATTTTGCAAATAGTTGTCCAGATCTTCATCTGTGAAGTTGGTCATTTTGCAGTCCATCCTTAGAATCAGTTCTCTTTGAATGCTATTTTAAGCCTTCTTTTCAGCTGCACAGCTAGATGTAAGGATTTCCGTGCCCCTTTTTTTGTGGTTCTTTTGTGTCCCCGTGTGCGTGTGACACACACTGTGTGAGGGAAAAGCACTTCAGCAGAGACCCATTGATCTCATAATATTGATTTCTGAGATGCTAAAAAGCTCTCATGGTCCTCTGGGCAAATGAGTTCACCAATTGCTTACTCACATAGCAGACCACTCTCATAGAGAAATTTGAATGTAAACATCTGTTTCATTTTAATCTAGTGGAATATACAAGTATTTGGACACTTTCTGGTGTTTGGTTTGATCATTTCTTTCTAAAGAAGTGAAATTCATACACAAGAGTTACTCTGATTTAATTTGAATTTGTTCAACTCAGTTTAGCTTTATTTTGTAATTTCCTTATATTTATTTGCTGTTTGCATATAGGCACAATGAGCTGCTGGATGTTGTTACGGTTGCACAATGGGGATCTCCGCAGATCTCTCCTGCCTCTGTGCTGTTCCCTCAGCCTGCGAACTCTCAGTTCTGGAGCTATCAGCCGCAGCTTGAGAGAGAATTACCGTATACTGCAGCTGCCAGACGATGGAGCCAGCGACCCCTCAGAGGTCAAGGAAGCTTACCTACGCATGGCCAAGCTCTACCATCCAGATTCCGGTGCTCCCACGGCAGACGCGGCTCTGTTTTCCCAGATAGAGGAGGCCTATCGGGCTGTTCTTGCCCAGCAGAAGTCGGCCTCACAGTATACCCGATTGATGGAGGAAGAAGAGGAAGATAAAGTTAAAGGTAATGCCCCTCAACACAGACATTACCTCAGTTTTGAAGGCATTGGTTCTGGCACTCCAAGCCAAAGAGAACGACAGTACCGACAGTTTCGTGTAGACCGCGCCACCGACCAGGTCCTGGAGTATCGACAGAAGGAGATGGAGAAGGCAGCAGCAGACGAAGGAGCCATGGTGACCCGAGATGCACGTTTACGCAGCAAGCAGATCAAAATCACTCAGGCGGTGGAGAGGCTAGTTGAGGACCTCATCCAAGAGTCGATGGCCCGTGGAGACTTCCAAAACCTCAGTGGCACCGGAAAACCACTCAACAAGTTTGATCATAACCCATATATGGACCCCATGACGCACAACCTCAATAGAATTCTCATCGACAATGGTTACCAGCCTGAATGGATCGTGGTACAGAAGGAGATCAGGGAAACCATTGCCAAAATGAGGGAGAGGTTGCAGGAGGTCAGGGCAAGGCTGGGAGATCCCATGAGACACTCAGAAACTCTCCAGTGGAAGGAGCACTGCGCTGCGTTTGCTGATGAACTGGGGAAACTCAACAAGAAAGTGGACAATTTCAACCTGATTGTGCCTCTCATGAGCAGGCAAATGGTGCATTACAGCCTGAAGAGAGAGCTGGAAAAAATACTGAAAACTGATCAGCTGCTCAGGCAGGAGAAAGAAAGAGAAAAAGAAAGGAAGCGAAAGGAACAGATGGAGACAGCAAGAACATCTCAGCACACCAGACAAGGACTCATCACATGGATTCAGAATCTTCTTAATTGAGGCTGCATAGTGTGATTAAGATTATTTTGCCCCTTCCTTGTTCTTTTTATAACTGTAATACAATATGAAACAAGTATTGTCTGGTTTTATTAAAAACTGGCAGAAAATTAAAGGCAATAAATATTACCATGGTGATGTATACATAGTTTAACATTTTTACTAAAAAGGAAAAGTATTTCTATCTATCTGTCTATCTATCTATCTATCTATCTATCCATCCACATATAATTAAATATATGATTTAAATGCAATTATTAAATTCATTTTCTTATTACAGAATACAATTTTATAAAAAATTACATTAAAAATTTAAATCTATTTTAATTTTTTATTTTATAATGTAATTGATTCCTGTGATGGCATAGCTGAATTTGCAGCAGCCATTACTCCAGTATTTATTTTATTTTGGGTGATCTTTAATATTAATTATTAATATGAACAAATCAATTAAATCATTTGGCAGATAAATATTCAGAAAGAAAGACAATTGTGACATGGATGATTTTGTCCACAGTCTCTTGAGGGCAGGAAAACTTGCCTCATTGTTATTCCAGTCAGTCATGATCAAGCATGTAAGGTATTCTTGGAAAATCCTATTAGACTTCTCAAACATTCCATGACCTTATAAATGCCAATTGAACATGATCATTTCATGACAACAAATGGCAACAGTCCAACAAAATCCCACAACCGTTGAAAGTTGGTGTTTGTTGGGACATTGTGAACTAGCCTTAAGACTGCAGCTGAGATGAACCTGTGGCATTTATAAAACAAAACCGACTGTAGAGTTCAACTGTTTGATTTATTTTTGACGTAATTAAATGAACAACGGTGACAATATATATTCAATTTAATAAAGCAGAAAATCAAACATAGAAATGACAGAAATTACTGACAGTAATCTAGGTCTGCTCCTGCTCTCTTCCACTGTAGCCTGGAAGGTGTCCAAGAGCAGCTGGGTTGCTGATAACCACAGGAGATGCTATACTAGCCCAATCTTTAGCTATATACTGATGATATGGATCCTGAGAGTTCTCCACCTTCTTTGAGCGAATATAGCTGAACATGATGCCAAAGGTAAAGAAACTAAAGAGTCCCACCATCAGACAGATGTAGATCATGCCGTGACCTTTATCTTGGACTGGAGCTCCACTCAGATGGACAGGTGGATGATGTGGTGGCGCATACGGAGCTGCTCCCACCAGCCATGTCTCATTAATGTAGTGCTGCAACCAGGATACCAGCAGAGCGTGTACATCTGTGAAGTTCTGCTCTAGCATTCTTTCCACTGTTGATATAGAGTGAACTCAATGTATAAATACAGCTATGGGATTCATCATTAGTTCTTTCCATAACTTGGTTAATTTATCTGAAGGAATGCTATATACTATATAGCCAGATATATACAACCAATCAAACGTTTGAAGACACTTGACTGATTTTGGTTCTCATATTCTTAATACTTTGATCTACATTATAATGCCTAAATGTTTTAAGAGTACTGTTTTAAAGTTTGGGATCTGTACTGCAGCACAGCGGTTTTCAGAATTGATAATAAGAAATGTTTCATGAGTACCACATTTCTGAAGGATCATGTAACACTGAAGACTGGTGTAATGGCTGCTTAAAATTCATCTCACAGGAATAAATTATACATTACACGCATAAATAAAATTAATAATTTACACAAGTAATTTTAAAATATATAAAAAAGTTATTTTAAATTGTAATATTTCACAATACACTTTATATATATATATATATATATATATATATATATATATACAAATAAATGCAGCATTGGTGTACAGTAGGCAAAATTATAAATATATACATTTAATTTAATATATATAAATAAAGGTAACACTTTACAGTAAGGTTCATTAGTTAACAACTTTAGTTAACATGAACTAAGAATGAACAATACTTCTACAGCATTTATTAATCTTAGCTAATGTTAATTTCAACATTTACTAATGCATTATTAAAATCCAAAGTTGTGCTTGTTAACATTAGTTAAGGCACTGTGAATTAACATGAACTAACAATATTTTCATTAACTAACATTAACAAAGATTAATACATACTGTAATAAATGTATTGTTCATGTTAATACATTAACTAACATTAACTAATGGAACCTTATTGTAAAGTGTTACCAAATTAAAATATTTCTTTTATTTTTATTCTTGTCAAGTTTAACATCATGGGGAAGGTGAAGCAGCCAACAGGTCCAGTATACAATATAAATCTACAAACTGATATTTAAGCAAGTGAGAAAGGTATGTAATATAAAATAAATTTAACAGACATACCTTATAGTTTTTGGTGCTAACAGAAATTTTAGTTTAATGCAAAAACAGCCAAAAAATGTTTAGTGGATCTTTCCTGCTAGTCCCCTTGTTGCTCTCCTAGAAAAAAAAAATCACTAAGGAAGACAGGACAGTATCTGAGATCATGGTTCCACCCCATTATGAACATAGAGACTTATTCACAAGGATCCAACCCCCTCAAGATGTCAACAGCTTTAATTAATCTAAAACAAGTCAAGGTCATCAGCTGCTTCATGGGGAAAAGTCTGGGTCTGAACAGAAGGCCAGCTGACCAATGACGTGGTCAGATCCTGCGCCGATCAGCCACAGCCCTAATTAACAGTCAATGTGGGAAAGAATGATATTTTTGAATGTATCTTTTTGACTTTAACAAGCTAGTTAAAAGATATCTTGGTGGAGATGGCCATGAGTCACTGGGGACTGTAGATATTTCTCTCAGCTCTGCCAGCTTGACCTTGATGCTGAATAACTCCACACGCAAGTGGGAACAATGGTTTACATTGAGATATTCAGACATTCGAGACTCACAGATTCTATTTCAAGGCATAAAAAAAAAAAAGAAAAAAAAGAGACATCACCTTGAAAAGTCCTCGACTTGCGTCAGTACTGCAATACCAGCATACTGGATGAATGCTGAGTCATCTTTTGAAAATGGCTAAATGCATAAAATTCAAGAGGCATGTGGGCTGAAAGTCAGAACACTCACAATTTCACAGACTAAAATACTGTTTCGCTTTTTAAAAAACAAAAAAAAAAAGCTAAAAAGGACAGCACGACTTTGAAGAAGAAAAAAAACTTGTTTTAATGACATGTTATGGCTGTTATTTATGTATGACAGGACAAACACCCAAGCCATTGCCGAACCAGTGACAGTTTCAAAATCAAGTAAAAAAAACAGCATATACCATTATATACAGACATCTATGGTTAAGAAATCTATAGACATATATGTTGTTAATTATATACAACAAACAGTAAAAGGCATCAGAAATACACTATTAAGCTCAATGTAATAAAATCAATTGGTGTTAATCCTGGAGTGTAACAGTCCTCCATCAAAACTAATTACAGTGTTATGGTCCTACAAACAATTCAAGCGCATGAAATTGAGGACCTTGCCTTTCAGTACATCCTTAGGATTTTAAAACAAAGTTTAAACGATGGACTCTTGTATAACTCGC